CTTATGTCATTTGCACCATTTGATCACCCCTGCTAAGAGACCATCTGTGTGTAAGATTGGTCTTATTATTAACCATCTGTAGCCTAGTTGTGTGCTACACTAGAGCAGATGAAGTTTTGGATATGGGATCTATGACCAGCACAACTTAGGTGTGCAAGCTGTACCAAATAGTGTCACACATACAGGGTAGTTACTTTGTTACTCGAGGGTGGAAACAACATGAAGATATCTAGTTACTCATTATAAGAAGTGGTGATGGGCATATAGTTCTGCATGTGCCAGGGAGCCTCCTCTACAGTGGGAGGATATCTTTATACCCTAGTGGCCAGTATGTGTCCACTTCAAGAAAGGCAGCCCCATTCTAATAGACTACTATCTGTACTGTAGCTCACATACCTTGTTGGCTGGACAGGGCTAGGAACTTATTAAAAATGGTGTCCATGGGAGCAACAGAGATTGTGCATTTAATGGGAGGACCTCAACTCTCCAGCAGGAGAATAAGAAGAACAGGAAAAGCAAGGTCTAAACAGTGAGCTGGTAAACAATGTATGCACACAAAGTACACCAGTCTAAATTTATTATAGGTTACTGCATCACCAGGGGGAACAAATATTTAAACTTTTTAAATTTTATGACATCATATTGTTTCAAAAGACAAAACTCTCAGACACTGAGGAGTCCATTCTTACTGGCTTTAACTTCCATACCACATGCTGGTCGAGACACCTCTCAATGAAACAGTCACCATTGCAAGCTACAACTTATCCAGGTAGCTCACTTGTAGTTACCCACACAATTCCAAATCACCAATATATAAGTAAAAGGTAACACATCACATTATGCTGAAGATTAGGGGCTCCTCCCTGACTTGTTTGACAACACTCCTATGCATCTAACAGTAAATTACTTTAATACCAAACACTTTACTTGGAGTGTAGGTGGAAACACTAATGACAGAGGTTTACATTTTGCTGTCCATACTGCTAAACTTGGGCAAACCAACAAGAATTGCTATACATCAAGGGGACAGAGTCCTGTATCGATCTTGCTTTTCTTAATCCCACCCTGAGTGTTATCTCTACTTGGTATAGGGATTATAATGTATGTGGTGGTCATCTTGTGTGAAGACTGGAAGACAAAGTGGTATAAAACAATCTAGAACCCCAACAAGGATACCAATCCTTCTGGCATCACTCATACCCTCAAGCATATCAATACTTCCACCAAGTAAAGTCAAGTTAATGGAGAACCAAGGTAAAGGCTATCCGCTCAGATACATTAACTAACCATGGTTACATGCAGGAGAGGCTCAAGCTACAGGAATTCTTATCCGAACTATAATTACATGCTGATATAGAAGCCACCTTAGCATGGACAAAATGACCCATAAATACATTTAAAAATGGAGCTCCAACTCCAGAGGGTGTAAGAATTTACACCTTTAAAAACCTCACAGAAGTCAACCTGTTGAAGATAGTGTTGAGGTGTCAACAAAGCTAGGCAACAGGTAGCATCCTTGAAATATGGACTGATGCCTTTATCTGATCTCTACCCAAGCCCATGAAGGACCACTTCTTAAAGATCATTGAATCATCATACAACAAAATATCATTAGCAAGAAGGCTATAGTTAGAAGGCTTGTCTAGCAGATTGAACCACTACTAACTACATCATTAGGTGGATATCACAGCTGATACTTTAGAAGAGTTTAAAGCAAGCCATAACACCTTGGCAGTAGCTTTAAATCTGGAAGATGCCTATAATAATCTAGCTGCCCATTTTCTTGCTGACAACATTCTCTGAATAGGCATTAGTGCTGCACAAACTACGTTAAGATTCATAGGAAGTACAGGATCACCATCAATAGTGGTCTACCTTTTCAACATCTACACACGGATCTAGCTCCCTATTTTAGCCAGTTGCCTTTTACTAACTTTTCTGATGACATCCTGGTGTACAATAGGGACTCTTGTGAAGATGAAATTGAAAGCAAAATACATTCTTGATTGTTATATCCTTTCATGATTTTGACAGTTAACTGTAGTGTATGCAGATATATAACTATATATTGCTTCCTTTCGACTATGGAAACTACAGATTATCATAATGTACCCTGAGAATTTGAATCCAGTGATAGTTTATATGATATTTTTAATGTTTTGACTGTTCTGAATATCTGGTGTGTTACCTCAGTGCATGTTTTATATTCCTCAAAAACCTTTGTAATATTGATTCTTGTTTGAAGACATTATTCTGAGTTTCATAATATTAAAACACCTAAAACCTAATAAAAGGTATTTTCTTACTGGAAGCTATCATTCACGTCAACAAGTTATAAAGAGTTTCATTTGACAGAGGTCAGGTAATTATGAATGATTTCTTAACAACAGAAGATTGAGCACTCGAGAGCTAAGCTAATTCAAAATATTCCATTTTGATGCCAATTCTTTAGAAATAATTAGGTGATGGTTTTTCTTGTTTTAGATGATGCATAAAAGACAGCTATTTTGCAGAAAAAATTATCATATAACTTTGCCACATAAAATGTTTTTCATGCAAAGGAGTTATAGTATATTAATGTCTAAATTTTCTTTTAAAATAATGTGCAGCCTGTATTTAGTTTGAGCTGTTTTATACAATGGTATAATACCACACTGAGGTATACCAAAGTTTGTTCATGATCTTTGGTAACAGTTTGCATATTAAGCACCCTGACCTTGGACATATGTTGGCCTGTGGCTACACATTAAAATCCCTGACCCTCTTGGAATTCAGTTAAAGTATGGTGATTTGTAATTGCAAGTTGCACCAAAAATTTGCCACTTTTGGGAGGGTCATAATACAGGACTTTCTAACACAAAATTCTCTTATTTACAATTATAAGAATACATGAAGCATGAAAGTTTAGTGTTTTGGAGAAAGGTATATCCATAATGTTAAAGTAAAGGAAAGGCCTGATTCCAGCAGAGAAAAAATAAGGTACTCCAGAATCTCTGAACAGTTGCACACCAGCATTGTTTAACAAAGTTAAACAGCTTACCAAAAAAAAAAAGAGTAATATGAGCCATGTTCTGAAGCTCCTCCCAAAGTGTATAGCCAATTAGAAGAGCAACATCTAGCTTTTGACAGATTAAATGTGTTGTTAGTTTGTGGTAAGTTTTACAAGTGGAAAGTCGAGAAAAGAGCCATTGTGAACTCTGTGTATCATCAGACTGATGTGTGGTCACCATTATACAACATGGAGTACTATCTTTGTACTAAGTGCCAATAAGATATGGCTCCATCAAGACGAAGTACACAGCTACTTGTCTAAGTATATATATCCCAGTTCCTTTGCAAAGTGTAAATACAAAGGGAAATTCATACTGTACCATTTGCTAACACCTCACTTATACTTTTGTAATGTTTGGTTGCTCAAACAAGCCATTGGAAGTCATCATTTACACATGATTGGTGGATTTTGTTAAGAATGTGAGGAGGAGAACAAAATGTTGATTAGGCACTTGTCATTGTATTGTTACCATTGATCTGTAATGTGTTATTGGTATGTGCTTTGCTGATCTTGAAGGTATCAGGTTTCTTTTTTTGTATAATACTGTTTTAACCATCTTGGTAAAATGTGCATTTGAGGAAATAACATGTATAAAATTTGTTCATTGCTTTCCTTTTTTAAGCTTTTACTTGTAACTTATACGAATGACCTAAATGCCAACCTCCCATTCCTATAGACTAAATTAAGTAGTCCTTGGCAGAGGTGCTGACTTGTTTACTCTCAAAAGTCTCAAAGTTCTGAGTATCATAAATGCATTTATGTAAATTTTGTAGTCCTTTTTCTAATATGTAAATTATATTTGTCTATGCTTTTCTAGTAATACAAGAATTGTACTTTTAGTTGTATACATTTGTTAGTCTTTGACTTTGTTTCTAAAAAGTACTCCATTTTCATAATGTATGATTCTAAAAATGCAGCATTAAGATAAATTGCCATTTATGTGTAATTTGCGATTAATATTTTGAGAACCTAATTTAACATTCTGTAAACAAAACCTTAAAATTTAATTTTAAACTTTATTTCAAGTCAAACTTGTACAAAATAAACTCTTTGTTTACTTGACTGTAGAATGTAGTACTGGTTTTGTACTGAATTCACTTTTAAGTTGTGTTTAGATGGACACGGGTGTGTAAATTCATTGTTTTAGATTGTCTACTTCTGACACTACTATGTTATAATTGTGCTATACCAAACTATACTCAAATGTATATATTCATTTAATTCATAAACCCTCAGTCACAAGTGTATTTAAATTAATGCAACAATGTTCTTACATTGCTTTGGTTTACCCAGTAGAGTTTGCCAGCTCTAAGAAGGATATATTACATAATGAAAATTATCTAAAGCTTGATACTGTTATATATATTTAACTCCATTTTAATTTTAGTTCGTAATATGATTTCATTATCATTCCTGCCTGGGGTATTCTATGCAGCAGTATAAAAATGGCCAGATGTTCTGTTACAGAAACAAATGTATATGAAGAGATTAGGTGCCAGATGTGGTATATGCCATTACTGACAAAACTTTGCTGCCACTGGCATTGTATTGAATGTGTTCACTGTGAAATGAAAGTAAAATCCTAAAAGTTATACTCTACTTTTGTGTTTTCTGAAACTAGAAAGTGACAAGTAGATTTTTCTCATATTTTGTTCCTTGGACAAGAAGTTTTTTCTCAAATTCCAAATGCTGTGTGAATATTTGAACACCTCAAAAATAGATTTGACTTAGGTGAAACTTTACAGCTAAATATTATATAAATGCACCACCCACAAGTTTTAAGTAGTTGTTTTTATGGTAATAATTAAAGGTATTCTACAGTTATTACTTTATTAGAGACTATCCTCAAAATCCTTGATATATCTTTTATAATCTGAATGACTATATAAAATTTCTTTTGTGATTTTCAGTAATTATATTTTATAATATGTATGATTTTTTTCAACAGGGTAACCTCCCAGATAAGCTTCAAGGTCGTCTTTTGATGCCCACTGAAAGACGAGGAGGACGAAGAACTGCAGCTTCCCTTCTTGCTAGTGTCCACCAAAGTCTTAGCTCTCCAACAACCACAATTGGTTTTCCATCACCATCTAGTATGAATCCACTAAATTTTGCTAGTAGTAGCATGCTTCCAGGGTTTTCAGGAGGAATGAAATTTTTCATGGATCCTTCTAAAGGACCATCAACATCAGCTATATCCACACCATCATCAGTTGCATCAGCTGCCACTCCTCCTCTATTTTTACCATTTGGTGGGCTTGCTGGAATGGGTCTAGCAAATCCATTGTTCAGTTTCCCTGGCTTTAGCTTTCCTGGCCTTCAGGGAACAAGTTCTCTTGGTTCATCATCTGGGCTTGGCTCAGAAAAAGACAAAAATGATAGAGAACAGACAGAGAAAGTCAGAGAAAAATCAAGCAGTGGAACATCATCCAAATCTAAAGGAGTAACACTTCCACCTATGTCAGCAACAGGGACATCTTCAGCTTCTGTCTCAAGCAGCACATCATCCCTACCTTCGGCTAGTTCACTTCCATTTCTATACCCTACTTTAGGACTACTGTATAATCCACTCAGCCTAGGTGGATTTTCCATGCCCCCAAACATGCCTGGCTCTTTTGCTTCCCTAGCTCAGAGTGGCTTAGTTAATGGACTAGTTGGGCTTAATAACCCTTGCAGTACACAAAGCGTTGTATCCCTTCCTTCAGTGACTGGATCCCTCTTTTCATCTACAAAGTCATCTTCTATCTCTGTCATAGACAGTCTCTCCTCACCTCCTACCATTACTGCCACAGCTGGCAACACACGTTCCACAACCACAAGTATTACTAGGGTCAGCACCATGTCTAGTGGAAGAGACTTACCAACTAGTAACCTTCTGGCCCCACAAGATTCTGATGATGAAAGCTTGAAGTCTTTGATGGGTAACCATGATGATGACGATGATGATGGGGATTTGGATGATGAAAAACTTGACACAGCAGACAGTTTAGGTAAAGATGACAGTGAAACAGAGGAAGATGTTGAAAAGAAAGTAACAAAAGAATTATCAAGCGTTTCAGATATTTCAGGAACAAAAAAGACAGAAATCTCTTCAAAAATCAACAACAAAGGTGCAGATGGCATAGCAGACATTTGCCCATCTGCACAGACCTCACAGGATGAACACAAAGTGAGCAAAACTACTACCTCAGACAGCAGCAACTCGGTGGAAGACAAACCGTCGTAGCTATCTTCCCAAATTAAGTAGACATAAGTTGATTGGCTTGGTTAGTTTCTGTGATACCACGTTGAAGAAGATATGCCACTCATCTTCCTCATCCTTGTCAAGAGTGTGAAATTATAAGTCTTAAACTGTATCTGCTTCTAAAAGTGACAGTACAAAAACCGCCTTCTTTGGAAGGGGAAAGAAATAACTTTCAAGAATGTGACAGCTGTTTTTTATATATAAAGGGAATGTGGTATTCCTTTCCATAGGAAGTTGTATGTATGTATGTATGCTTTATTATTATAACTGTTCACTGACCTTTTTCCACGTGACATAAATCATGCCATTTTCTCCCTCTTATAAATCTGCCAGAACCATAGTACGGGTTTTGTAGACTAGTAGAAATAGTTGTATTGACAATATCATTTTGTATGATCATTCTTGACCTTTCTTAGGTTTTATGGGTTAGTGATTCAGGATTTCTGTTTAATTTTATTCACAGGTTTAAACAAATATGTCATTATCTTTTTCCTTGTAGTCACATTGGCTGTGTTGCTGCTCATAGTCATATTTCACTCTTTTTAACGTTTTTAGTGTTGTGCTCAAACATATTCATATGATGATCATGGCTGTCTGTCTAGACACGACATTCCTCAATCCCCTTGTAGTTTCCAGCCGTTGTACTTAGCAAGAAGTATATAGGAACCTCCTTGGTAGTTTGATATTTATATTGCTGGTGCTTTTGCACCTGATGCAGTCTGTGTACATAACCACTTACTTGGAGATTGTAGCAGCTCTATTTATTTTACTACAGTGAAGTTCACAAACACCATATCCGGTTCCCCAGTAGAGATTGGCCTAGAGACAGCCGTTGTTCATACGTTTTTTTGTTTTTGTTTAATATGGCGGTCCTTATACTTAAAGGCCTACATGCTCATGCATTTTTGTGTTCCCTGTTTCTCTTTCTTTTGTGTGTTTTGGTGCATGATAATTCTTTACTACAGTATTAAAGGATAGTTACAATCTAGAAATGATGTTCTTTGGGATATTTCTACAAGAAATTTGTTTTTGAATGTACATTTTTCGTTAAATTCTTAAATTACTGAATATCAAAACATCTTATGAATCTAAAAATGAAAAAAAAAAGCCACCTTAAATTGTAAATTTAGCGGAAGAGGTCTTGCTCAAACAATGTTTTTTTGTTTTAACTAAATCATTAACATTAGGTTAATCATTGTATTTGACGGTTTCTCTACTTTGCTACAACTGTATAAATCAGTGACGATAATATGTACTAGTAACATAAACCACTTCCTTATAGATGAGTTGGAGTTTTGGAAATACTTGCATCACTATCGAATTTTAGGTAAACTTATAAGGGTTCGTTTCAACCTACTTGTAGCGTTTACTTGATTCATGTGGTGATGATTTTTGCCATTAGAATAAATAACTGGAACTTCTTTATTAAATTTTGTTTGTGCTACATTATCGTTCTAGTTTCATCAATTAAAAGCGACGTCATATTGAGTACATCTTAAAATAACAAGAAAATGGTTCGTTTTTGGTTAGCAAGAGTATTTTTTTTAAGATGCATTTATTTCGAAACTGACAACGTGTTACACATGGGAAGAGAGTGACTGGAGCTTTGGTTTATGTTTTAGACTTCAGAGAGAGGGATCGTGTGTGGAAAAGTAATAAATAGAAAAATATGTGCTGGTCTTTGTTGTCTACCTGTAATTTTTTTCTTAAAGGTATAATTTCTTTGTGTGTGGTGGTGTCTTGGGCTATTAATGGTCCTTATTAAAGTAGTATAGTGTAAGGTTTTTGTGTACAGAATTATGTGAACAATTCTTAATCGATAAATTAGTGTGAATTTAATAAAATCACGTGAATAATTTAGTTTTTAATGAAATAATTGGAAATTATGGCAAAACATGATGCTTTGGAAATTGAAACAGGTTAAAAGTGTTGATTTTTTTATTTTCAGGAAACTTTGAAATAAATTTTAAATATAATTATGGAAATAAATTTTTTCTTACTCGTATTCACTGATAAGAATGTGTTTAATATTAGGATTGTATAAATGAATGAAACGAATACTTGTGAATTCGTTGTTTTGTGTATGTAGAGAAACGTCTTATTTGCATTGATTCAAGAAAATTTGAAAAACCTCTTCTAGAATTTATCTAAAATTTTTTTGTCTTTGATATAACAGGATCTAGGTTCGTTATTACAAATCAACAGATCCCTGAATGTGTGTGCACAATTTGAACAAATTGTAACCATTCGCTCCATTTCAATTCATAGTGTGTCAAGTGTCAGACTTTCACAAAGTAACTTGCTGCTTGATGACTTTAATTGGATAATTATTAGAATTAATTTTAACAGAAGTATGTGTTAAGTCTTGAAAATAAGATGGTAAGTATGGTATGTAATAAATGTTACGGTTTTTAAAAGACAAATGATGGTGACCATATATAAAATTTAAATCGTATCTTGTAATACATTACCCTGTAAAAAAAAAAAAGTACACTTTGGTTCTTCCTTTTAGTGCCTTCAGTAACTGCATGACCACAACTAGGGTTAGTGTAGAATTCCTGTCACGATCCTGTGTAAACAAATAGACGTATGCAAAAAAAAAGTTATAGCAAGATTTGATTAGCATTAAAGCTTCAGGGATAAACAGAACTATTGCTAGACGTCTTGTGTAAGTAACTATTTGAACTAGGTGTTGTGAGTGTGTGTAAGCTTTGATTTTTACTGGCTGGTTGGTAAACAGGTTTCAACATTGTACAATTATTATCCACGTAATCTTTTATTAAATTATTTGATATCTATAACATAAACTGTATAATTTAATTGTCATCTGACACGGATGAAACTACTTGTCATTCTCTCACTCGAATCTCAGGATATTTTATGGTATATAATCCTGTACATCAGTTCGTGTATTCCTAGCTTACACACAGTTTTTGTATTTATTTTAAGTTTGACCAAACTGTTGAAAAGCGTGTGGGAAAAAAAATAAGTATGTTGTATTTCTTCTAATAGGGTTTCCGAATTTATTTTTTTTACAGGTGGTGTAATTATTTTAATGTTGAATTTCTCATAAATAAATTTCATTTAGAAGGCAGATAAGCAAGAAGATGGCAACTGTAGCCGAAAAACGGTCACTTGTGCCTTCTGGCATTTCAGTTGTTACAGACTGCCTCCATAACAACAACACAGCTCTCTAGGCCTAAAGACAGAAAACAGTTTTTAAAAAGTCTGCCTGTGTTCTTGTGTGCTGAGGGGACTAGAGCTCCTTGTATTCACGACTGCATTACTTTATATAGTGTCTGTACGAGTGTAATAAATACTTATATGAAACATGAATTTGTCTGTTATTCGTGTGTCAGTAGTTTGTACAATATTTATTCGCTTGATCAGTGTTACGTTGTGTATAAAATGCATGGATTTTGACAGTTGAAGTTATAAAAAAAAAAGCCTACCGGTTGTAAGTAAGCGTTTAACATATTTAAATATTTCTGGTGTATTTTTTTCAGTGTTTTCTGTTCATAGTGTTTTCAATATTTCAGCAAGGCACTCAAACTTATTATATTAAGTACCAGCATGTATCCAGTGGTTGCAAAGTATATTGAGGCTTGTTTCACTACTTTTACACTCAAGGCCAAAAACAGTTTTAAGAATGTTTAACAATATGTCAGCCATGCTATATCCATAGTCGACGAGACATTTCGCACAATGCCGGCTCAACAAGCCACGCACAGGGGAATCCCTTTACTTTTGAGTATGTTTGTCGGCATATTTATTGCCAAGTTAATCTCGAGTAGAGATAAACATTTTTATAAATTTGGTGTGCTTCTGCGCTTCCATAAAACTAAGATTCCCATCAAGTTTACTTAAAACAAGCTCTACAGACTGGTTGGTTGTTTGAGCATTATTTTCGTGAATTAATTATTCTTTGTGATATAGCCTTCAGAAGACGTATGATGTTACCACAAAATAATGTGAATTTCCCTCGCGGTGGTATCATGTCTACTTAAGTATTATGGTCTGGACAGTCGCATTATCCGTCTATATAAGTTACTCAACATTCAGGACAAAAGTACACTAAGATGTAATGAACTTTACAGTGATGGACGATTAGATCCAAAGTACTTTATGAAGAAAGCCAAACATTAAACCACGGTGCTTAGTAATAAATCTACACAGTCATATAGCAACGGAAATATAATGAAAAATAAAACATGCAAGTATAATTATATTAATTGTGCAGTTTCTTAACATATGTAATTCTAGATGAATATATTGTAACATATGTAATTCTAGATGAATGTATTGTAATATATGTAATTCTAGATGAATGTATTGTAATATATGTAATTCTAGATGAATGTATTGCAACATGTAATTCTAGATGAATATATTGTAATATGTAATTCTAGATGAATATATTGTAATATATGTAATTCTAGATTAATGTATACGTTACAATACATTCATCTAGAATTACACGTTACAATTTAATCATCTAGAATTATATATGTTACAATACATTCATCTAGAATTAAGTATGTTACAATACATTCATCTAGAATTACATATACAATATATTAATCTAGAATTACATATATTACAATATATTCATCTAGAATTACGTATGTTACAATATATTCATCTAGAATTACGTATGTCACAATATATTCATCTAGAATTACATATATTAAATACATTCATCTATTCATCTAGAATTACATATGTTACAATACATTCATCTAGAATTACATATATTACAATACATTCATCTAGAATTACATATATTACAATACATTCATCTAGAATTACATTACAATACATTCATCTAGAATTACGTATGTTACAATACATTCATCTAGAATTACGTATGTTACAATATATTCATCTAGAATTACGTATGTTACAATACCATACGTAATTCTAGATGAATATATTGTAACATATATAATTCTAGATGAATGTATTGTAACATATGTAATTCTAGATGAATGTATTGTAACATACGTAATTCTAGATGAATGTATTGTAACATACGTAATTCTAGATGAATTTATTCTAACATACGTAATTCTAGATGAATTTATTCTAACATACGTAATTCTAGATGAATGTATTGTAACATATGTAATTCTAGATGAATATATTGTACGTGGTTGTTAGGATATTAAGTCATTGTTATATCAAATCTAACTTTCACAAATTATTCGTATCTTAAACAAGCAATGTTTCTAGTTATATATGTCGATATTTTACGAGCTTTCTAAAATAACCGAACACTTTTTAAGTTTGTCAGTCTGAGTTACCGTATGCAATTTTCGGATGTTTTTATTATTCAGCCAAAGCACACATTTATATTAAGTGTTTTGAAATTTTCTGAAGTTTGATCGTTAGTTAATATTGTTACGTCTCCGTTTGTTAATTAACTTTCCGTAACTTCGTTCCGACGAAACTTAAGCGACACAACTCCTTTCTTAATAAAAACTGGTTTATTATTTCCGAATACAACTTTACCTTCCGACGAAACTTAAGCGACACAAGTCTTTACTTAATAAAACTGGTTTATTCTTTCCGAATATAACTTTACCGATACACTCAACTTCAACAATCGCGCTAAAACAAACGCTATAT